TATATAAAATAAGATACATATTAAAAACCGTTAAAAATACAATAGAAATTACAAGTAATAATCGTCCAAGGCTTTCCTAAATAAAACTCTAGAATTAACGTTTCTTAAACTTAAAGGCAATAAATTAAAAATCGAGGCACCTAAAAAATAAAAGCTACGGCGGGCAAAATCCAGTCTGACTTTGGGTAGTTTTGCTGTTTTCAAAATAATCACTTTTTGGGGGAATTTCAAGGGGAAATCCAGAAGTAGGGCGCCTCCCTAGCTCGGCTTTCATATAACGTACTTACCGTCTAACAAGTCTGTCCAGGCTTATGTCAAGTAATTTTTCCCGCCAGCAGTCCATGGACCAGACCCAGACCAGTTTTTGGTATCACATCAAGGGACAAGTGGCGAGTGCTATCGGTTGATACGAGTCCTTAAGATGTTTTATGAATTCGATTACGATAACCTTTCTAGACGAGTAGCTTTCATTTAGCTTTTTTAATTTGAAATATCTCAAAATATCCATTTAGCTTAGAAACGAGGCTCCAAAAAATGGCCTCAATGGAGCTTTGTGAGCAATTTTCACGTTTATGAAAACGCGGGGGAAAACGTGAATGAGAACTGTATTTTTCATTGTTGTAATACATTGTACTTGTACACTAGCAGTCGTATACTTTTAGATAATTCTGTATTTGATCTTGTAAAACATGTTCACTTATGTACGTAAATTATAGAGGATTCGTGAGAAACCGAGTGCCTGTAGAAAATGCTGAGCGCGTTTAAAAGGTCATGAAAGGCGCGCTAAACTTCGGTACCTTTGAGGTGTACGTGAACGTCAAGCCAATGCCATAAACGGCAAATCTCCACCGCTGATGGGAATTAAAAGGATAACTCACTGAGTGCGGCCCCTTGGGACATCCGCCCGAGGACGGCAAGGAGAAAAGGGACTGAAAAGAGTGCAACCCCCTCGTCCCAAACTTTTACTTATTTTTCTTCAGGAGTCACAATCGTCGCAAAGCGTGAACCCTTTTCGCCTCTGGTAGAAGAGAAACCGAAGAAAACCTTTGGGACCAGGATGCGTTCCTTTCCCCACCAGATTGCTAAAATAACTGAAAATTGACCCTGGAAGTGAGAACCAGTGGGATAGTCGTGATAGATGCCAAGATTTTCATTTCGAGAGCGTAGGTGGCGCGAAAGGGGTTAAGGCGAGTGACACAAAAGGAAAAGAGGGTGATGAAGCAGTATTACTGGACTGTCCACGTAGTTCATCCAAGAAAATTTGAGACTGAACTACATTGTATCTCCAAAGTTCCTGATATCTTTTTCTTGGTTTTGTAATTTTTCTTACAATTTGCTGGTACAACGTTAACCAAATGTGAGATTCCCAGATATGAGTTTACTTCTCAAAGGCATTGCCTGACAAATCCGACTGTCATCCCCATCTTACTTGTTCCCCAAATAATAAAATAAAACTCCTGTACGATTTGAAAAATATTTTATTGAGTGCGTTGCTTCATCGATCAATGCACAAGATCTTCTCGACTGACTATTTAGAAACCTGACTGAAAATGAAGAATCGCAAGGTCACTTATTGCTATGACATTTAAAGACTGATTTGAAATATTGGAATTTAACGAATGGATGTGAAAATAAAAGCAAAGCAAAGTAAAGATGTTTTTCAAAAGTTATGTTTTGTTTATAAACAATCTAACGATCTTGTACACGAAATGGATAATTTTGCATCTCTCAAATATATATAATATAGTTATACGGAATTTAAAAAATTCGCATTATAGAATAACCTCTTCGATCTCGTCATCAATGTCATCGAGCGCGTTGTCTACGGCGCGAACGTTTTTCTCGGCGCTCTTTCCAATGCTTTGTAGATGTTTCCGTCGAGGAAGCAACGAATCTTCTTGAGATTGTGGTTGGCTGGATTTTCGTGCTACATTTACTTTGTTTTCCCAGGGATAGTTAGATTTGTCTTTATTGAAAGCGGAACTGTCTCCGAACAAAGGGTTGCCTGTTGGTTTCACCTCCTCGTTCGTGAAAAGATCATCGCCAAATAAGGAGGTTGCTTTACCCGTGAAACCCTTAGCTCTTCGACCTTGCGCGGGGCTAGTCCTTGCACTGATAACATTTCCGTTTGGTTGGCTTGTTGAAGTCTTGTTCGACGTAGCTCCAAATGAGGGATTATAGTCCCCGAAGATCACGCCGTTTTGTTCTTTTTCTGGGATATTTTTCTTCCCGGCGCCGAAATCAAGACCACTGTTTCTGCGGTTCGTTTCTTTTTTCGCACCAAAAGACGGATTATAACTTCCGAAGGACAAGTCGTCCTTATCTTTGGCGTCTCTTTTAGCGGCAGCTCTCCTGCCAAGCGTAGGTTTGTAAGAACCAAAATTCAGATCATCCGATAAAGAGTCTTTGGCGTCGGGTTCCTGCGACGCGTGCGCAGGGATCCCATGATGAAGATTGTCCACAGTCTGTTTAAAATCGTAGGAGTATCGGCTCTGTTTCGAGCCCGCGCTTACTTTCTTTCTGCCACCGCTCGCGTCGGAGAAGATATCATCTTCGGAAGCCGCCACATTCGCCGCAGGCTTGGCCGGCTGTGCCTCCGTTTTTGCAGGTTTGTCGCTTTGCAGGAAGATCGGAACCTTTTTAGGTTTGTCCTCGGCGGCAGGTGGAGCTGTAGCTCCTATTTTTTGTATAACACCGTTCGATTTGTCGCTACCCGTATCAATTGCACGCATGCGAGCCAACAACAAATCCTTCTTGCGTCTGATTTCCGCTTCTTCTTCAAGTCGTTTTTCCTCTTCTTCTTCCTCTCTTTGCTTTCTTGCGCGTTCTTGTTCTTCTCGTTGTTTCTGTAACTGTTCCTCCTCTTCTCGCTTTCTTCTTTCGTGTTCTTCCTCTCTCCTTCGTCTCTCCTCCTCCTCCTCCTGTCTCCTTTTTCTTTCTTCGTCTTCTTCCATACGCCTTCGCCGCTCGTCTTCCTCTCGTCTCCTCCGCTCTTCCGCTTCCTTTCTCAGCCTATCTTCATCATCCGTCTTGTCACGTCTCACCGACTCCGGGACTGCGGGTTGTCCTTGTTGAACTCCAGATGTGTCAGATTTCACAACCACATCGTTTCCTTCGTCAGTTATGACCGAGCCAGAATCACTCGGCGCATTTGTTAGGAACACGTTTGTTCTTTTCTCTTCCTTTGCGCCCGCCGATTTTTTAACGTGAATCGCGGGGGCTGTGATGGCGGGCGCAGGAGAAGCCGCAGTGGCCGCCGGAAGGGCTGGTAAAGTTGTGCCTTTCTTCTTGTGCTGGGTGATGTGGTAATGGTAGATATTCTTTTCGTCCAATTCTCTTTCTTTTTCCTGTTAAAGGTAGGAGAAGAAAATTAACTAGGACCCACAAACATGCATTTCAGTTCCCTCTCGGGTTTTCCAGAAAAACCTACGTACTAACAGACAAACGAAACAGGTACACAAATCCGAGCGAGTGAGTATAATCGTTTTAGAGAGCACTGATCCATGGGATGGAAAATTTCAACTGAAGGATACGGGAGAATAAAACGATAACTGACTGCTCCGTATCTCATGTCCCATTCCCGACGTAAAAGTTGTACAATGAAATTTAATTAAACTATGTAAAATTAGTGACCATTTTTCACTTATATGTAGCTTAGACTTTTCGCCTGATTCTCACACGTTTGTTTGTCGTTCACTCTTGTCAGATGTCGAACCATTTAAAAATCAAGCTAAAACTGTTTAGGAAGTTTCCTTTTTGGTTGGTATTTGTTTTCCCTACAGTGTACACATATAGTACATTCACGGCAATGAAAATTCAGTCCTTCAAACAGAAATAGATCTTACTTNCCGAGAGAAACTTTTACCGGAAAACTTTGCGCTGCACAGGTAAAAAGAGAAAACAATTTACAATTCACGCAGGTCACGCGGAAAAATTGGCTGAGTTGCAAGGGAGGAGGGGTGGAAGCCAAATCGGAATATGAATACAGTTAAAACTGACGTTGATATGGAAAACTGAAATAAATACTGGATTAAAATTTAAAGGACTTTGAAACGTTTTGATCAAGAATAAAGAATAACTCTCACAGAGAAATGAATAATGAATGCCGATCCATAAATAGAAGTTGAAGACTCTTTCATGAAAGAATAAGAATAATGAAGTATTCATGTCATGTTGAATTGGATCAAAACACCATTAAATCTACATAAATTTCAAGGCAATTTTTCTCAAGAAAACTCTGTCTCCAAGTACTATTTTGCACGGAGAACAGTTGATGTTGGCCGTAAAAACTGTGAGAGGATCCACTGATCATTATTTTCTATGGGTGCGAGCAAACAAACCTCGGAATTGCTACATTAAATAAGCTCCAGCTGCCGGGAGCGAGCGAACCTTGCGGACAACGTTGCTACATGAAGCCCGTAGAACGCAAAAAAATATGAACGATTTCCTCACCTTGAGTCGATCGCGGAGCGATCTAAAATCCTCCTGCACTCTTTTCAGCTCTTCCTTGGCTTGTCTGTAGCGTTCTCTCTGGTCCTTCATCTCTCGTTGTCTTGCCTTCTCTTTTAAAGTGACTGATTTTTCTAGATCCTAAAAAACCGTGAGAATAAAGCAGCTGACTAAAACACTTCAATACGTATGTAGGTTATTAACCAATACAGGTGAAAGGTTTTCTATTGAAAGAATCATTTGATGAAATGCAATCCCGGGAGGTCGGAAAGTTGTCGAAAGTGTTGTCGTGACGACGAATTAGAGAGGGAGTAGTAAAAGCGACGTTATTTTGAGTTTTGTTCATTACTTTGAAAGCAGCTTCGCGTGGTTTCCTAAAAATTAAATGCCCGCAGCTGCAAAAACAACCGCGTAATATTATTGTGTTATTTTTCACGTCAACGGTTAACTTAATAGATCTGCACTCCTTAAAAAACAAACATCAACTTCTTTAATACATAAAGCATCCTGAATTTTGTCCGCTTTTTATCAAGCCCATCATCTCTGAGAAAAACTCTTTTATTGGCCATATTTCCCCTCGGCAGGCGAATAATGCGTCTCAGACGAAACGTTGTGTCTTGGTAGATATGGAAATAAGGCTTATTAAACGTCACACGAGCTCAACGAAATAAACGAACCTGTATAACGACCAAAATTTGCATCAAGCGACCAACAACTAGCTTCTTGTCAACACGAGTTTTATGTGTGTCGTATCTACCTAGACACACTTGTCAAACGTCCGAGACGCATTATTAGTCTTCCAAGGTATATACGGCCAATATCTTACTTTTGCAAAGTAAATACGGCCAATATCTTACTTTAATTGCAACGAATACATTCAGGTACACGGGTTACATGTAATGGGTTGGCAGCTAAAACAGAGACTTACATCTTGCGATTACAATGCGCGAAGAAAAAAATTGTGTGGCAGACGAATGGCATTCAGTGTGTGAGAATCGCTTATTTCCCGGGGATGATTCGCTCATTTCTGTAACCTCTATTACGATTCATTCGCTTTTATTTTTCTTGAAGGGAACATGTAGGGGCATGGTTCTGGGAACTGTTGGAGTTCAGTTCGTTTCTCGTTAACACCGTGTTTTCAATTTGATATGTACATGTAGCGTGTGATATAGACGGGGTTCTAATTATAAGATAGACCAATTTGAGGAGGTGAATTCCCCCCAGAAACAGTTTACAGCGTACATGTACAGTATACATTCCGTCGACTTACTGTTATCTTTTTGTCCTTTTCAGCCATGTTGTTTTGGAGTTTCTCCAACTTTTTCGCCAGTGCCGCACGTTCCTCAAGTTTTTTGTCCTGTGATAGTTCACGGTAACTCGAAACTTTGTCACGCAATTTCTGAATCTCATGGTCACGATCTCGGGACTCTTTGTCTTTCCTGTGCAAAATTTCCTGATTTCTTCGCAGCCGTTCTTTTAAAGTGTGCATTTCAGCACTGTGTCTTTGAAGCAACATTGGTAAGCTTGCTTCCTCCTCATCAATTTTCTTAATTTGCCTTTCTTGGCGATGGCTAACTCTTTTCAAAGACTTATTCTCGTGCTTTAGTTCTTCGATTTCCTGCTGCATTTCTTCCACAATGTTGTGCAGCCGTGAAACTTTGTTCCTGTTGGCTGATAAAACGCGTCTCATCATTGAGCTCTCGCCACCCACAGTTTTAGTGGTCATCTTTGAACTGGCTGAATGACTTTTCTTGGTTTTATTTTTGGCAGGACCTAAGATTAAAATAGTTGATAATTTAATATACAATAAGTACAAACTTCGAAACGAGTATAATAAATGTTAATATTGTTTTTCAAATAAGTTTCTGAATAAGACAACACAAGCAGAAAGAAGACAGCATAAGCTTAAATAAAAACCAAGTTATTTCCCTCATGAATACAAGGTCTGCTAACATTTTTCCATATCGATATTCACTCTAACAGGTATGCAGCACTTTAAACAAAATAGACATGCTCTTCCCAACCACCCAACCCAACCCCATAGAAAAATATATTGTTTCTTTCCAGTTTTGTAGTGCGTACATGTATGTCATCTTGAAAATATCGTTCTTAAACATACTTATTTTCTTTGGAATGAAAAAGCTACAAATATGAAGGCATAATTTTTTAACTGCAACCCTAAACATCCACAGCACAACCATAAATTGCTGTGTGATACGACAGCTAAAAACGGCAAAAACAAAAATAAAACAGCACCAGAATTTTACAAATTACTCAAAGAAAAAATAACGGGTGGATTGGTAAGCCTGTCAAGTAAGACAGTGTCCTGCCCACAGAAGCTCAACTTGCGATATTCCCATTCCTGGAAGATCAAAGGAGAGTCTGCTCGCGGGGTAGTAAGACATTACAGCACACTGGACCAAACAGAGTCATTGACAAAGCCATGTGACCTGAAAACCTCCACATACTAAACCCATATTCCTCACTGTTTGAGAGAAAATATTTTCTGCTTCATTTTTTTGTCCGTTGGTTTCTTTCTCCACTGGGTTCCTGGCTACCCTGTGCCCCTCCATTAAAAGGAAACCCTACAGTGCCGCTTAGAGACAAGCAATACATTGAACATGTCTATTCATTAACGAAAGGCACCGCGTCATTGCGTTGGTGCAATTTTCAGAACATGCTTGTCAACACAATTTTCATCAATGCACTTTGCCTTTGATATTCATTTTTTCACCTCCAGCTTATTAATCTTACATTGTGCTCTACCAATATTCTTTAAACTGATAGATATAAACATGCATGAATTTCCCTCACTGACCAAAGCAACCTGTAGGTAAAACAAGAAATAGCCCCTGGTCCGCTGGATGGTAAGTTACTTTAACAATCTTATGTTTGAGAACATATGGTGCACAGCCATCAGACAACATTGATAAAATTAAAGAAAAACAGCACTACCTATGCGTCCAACCACATTTCTTACCAAAAACTAATGCCTTTAGAATATTAATGAAAGAAATCAAGCTAAGCAAAAAGAATTCCCTGAATCAACAGCAGCTTGACACCAGAACAAACATTTTCTTTAATTAAGACTTTAGAGTTGATCACATCAGGGGATTCTGGCTTCATACTGATATAAAATCCTAAATCTCATTTATGTTTTTATGCTGTTGTTGTTATTTTTTGTTTTCATTTTGCAGTTGAACTACAAAGGATATGTGTACATGTAGCTTTAGCTGTATTGTATGCTTGAAAGATCATAGATCACATGATTTCTTTTCAACTAAAATTCTGCCATCACTTCTGTCAATAGAGGCTTATGGTTATCTTTTTTTTCATAGATCACATGATTTCTTTTCAACTAAAATTCTACCATCACTTCTGTCAATAGAGGCTTAAGGTTATGCAGTAATTAAGATTAATTAATTATTTATAATATAAATTTCTCAAATTAAGAAATCAAAGGTGTTGTTAAGAGACTACAAGTTTCCCAGAATAAACAGCAAACTTCCCCTTACGATTATTAAATTTCGCTCAAATTGGCGGATAACTTAAGGCAAAAATTACTCCTATTACGTTAGTTAAGCCTCCATGTAATGTTCATGTGTATTAAATAAACATATCGAAAATTGGCCGATGCTATTTTTGCATGTACTTTCTGATCTTGTCTGTGTTCCATCCATGAATGCGTATTCTCACTAGTACTGAAAATTTTAACCTAAGCTTAGAAGGAAAATAAACTATTTCAACGAAAATCGCTATTGTTATGAGAAAATCATATCATGCTTTTTTACTCGATTCACAGTTGAAAAGTAAGTCTTGTTTGTGTCTATCAAAATCACATCAAACTCAACGATGCGACGAAAAAGTCAAACGGAAATTTACCTCTGTTTGTCCCGTATGCACTTCTGTATGAAGCGAGCGAATCTCTCCTTGAAGAGGCCTTCTTAGAACGCGATCGGTATTTTGGTGGCGAGTCAGATGGTGATCTCGATGTCGATCGAACCCTCTCAGACATTCGAGATTCTCGTCTCGAAGATCTCCGAGTGGTAGATTCCTTCGCGGGGCTTTCGTCGTCGAAATCATCCTCGTAGCTATCGTAGTCGTCAGAATATCTGCCGGACATTTCTCGCTTTTCTTTTAATTTTTCTCTGGCAAGGAGGCTTTCCTTCCTCGTCGCAGAAATTACTGAAGTTTTCTTCGATGTCACTCTGTCCAACGCCGTGAAATCTGCCTCATTGTTGTACGACGAATTCAAACCGATGTTAGACAAGAACGGAGGATTTTCGAATTCTAGAGTCATAACAGGACTCTAGGTCTGATAGAAAGTAATTTTTGTAGTGAATATTTTGATCGCAGCATCAAAACTTTGCGCAAATTCACTATGTGTTGTTCGCACGACTCAAATATGGCGGCTGCTCAATGTTGTGTTGTGCGTGACGTCAGGTTGCCAAAACACCTCGTAGTCACGGAGACCGGAAAACAATCTTGATCCCAGGCTCTCTCTCTCTCTCTCTCTAGGTTCCAGTTCACCGCGGTACTAAAAGTGCTTCTTATCGTGGTGTACAATCAACGAAATGTGAAACTCTCTGAAAGGTGCAGATTTCGGACAAATTGCTTCGTTTTAATTCTCGCTTATGAAGATTCTTCAGAAGCGATTCTTCAGAAGAAATGTGCACTGTATCATTAGTCTTTCATTTATATTCATCGGGGGTTTTAAAATTGATTTTAAAAAAAATAATAATACCTAGTTTAATTTCCGAAGTGTTCCAGATTCTTAATAAATGTTGCGGGGTTTTCTCTCGATGGGGGCCTAAGATACGGGATTTTATTTTTACGTTGTCTCATTCATCCGTTCATTCATTCATTCATTCATTCATTTATGCATTCATTCACTTGCATCACTGGAAAAGTATTATACGGTGCAGGTTGCTAAAAAATTAAATAATTCGTCTCAGGAAAAAAATTCGTCGAGTTAAACCAAGGGAAAGAATGTAGTTACGAGGCCAAACTAATTGTTTAGTTAGTTCTCTAAGTAACTTTTGCCTTGTCGTATTTCTCTTCTCCTCAATTATTTTTTTACAATAACTGTGGAAACTCTCGCCGGTTAATTCGCTAAGTTTCATTGTCAATAATCGGACAGACACGTGCATTTATAATTTATGTGATAATCTATTGTAAGAAACAAATTGACCACAGTTTTTCATGCGTCTGTCCTGTTATTGACAATACATTTCGTCAAAACATTGTCAAAGTAGTCTGCGGATCCACTCGGCTATTGCTACGTGGATCCACAGCTACTTGACAATGTCATGATGAAATTCATGATCAATAACAACACAGAAGCATGAAAAACTGACCTCAATTTGTTAAAAGTATATGATCTATTGCTACCGCGCCTCCTACAAGCAGCGAGCAAGCATGTTTTGGGTCATGTAGCGGCTCTCGTAAGTCTCACGTGAATGACTCGATACCCTTTGAGAGAACAATAAAACAAACAACAGAAACAATGCAACTAGCCCTAAAACAACAACAGCTATACATTATGACGACAAATAGCATAACAAGCTTATGAAGGCTGCTACACTTCCTCATCTTTTACCAAATCCGAGACGATGTCCACTTACCGCGTCGACGATAGCGCGGGGCAGGAAGATGCGCCTTTTTTCCAGTAATTACAGGTGGATGATTGGCAGCTGTCACTCGCTCAATCAACGATGTTTTTCTAGAGCTTTGGCTTAGCGACAGTGAACTGCGAGTAGACCGGGTAGTACTGACAGGCCTTGTGCTGGACGTCGAGGCCCGTTCAGTTTCCACAGCGCTCCACCGGCTGCTAGCTCTGTCGCTGTGGTCGCTTTCTGGCGGCTTCGGGCTCGACTGTTCCTCGCCTCTGCTCTCCGTACGACTTCCAAAGAAGGCAGAATCACTGGTAATTATTTTTGTGGGGTTTTCGATGTTTGATTTGTCAAATGAAACCTGTTTTACAGGTCTTCGCTTTCTGCGAACAATTTTCATTTGAAGTTTAGTCACCGCAACAGAATTGTCACTGCTTATCGAAGTCTTTCTTGTCAACTGTCTTCTTATAGCAATTTTCTTTCCTGTCAAATTTGAAGCAGATCGTTGCTTTTTCTCTTTTGATTTCGAATTTTTTGTCTCTACCAGGTTTGGCTTATTGGCGTTGCGCATATTTCTGGTTTTCAATCGTTTGCTACCCTTGGCTTTCTCTGGGACAACAGCAAGCTCTGTCACACCTTCACCGTTACTTGTAACACCAGCACCCGCGAATTCAGCCCAGTTTTTGATTGACACATCGGACTTCCCGCTGTTCATGGAAGTAGTTGATTTATTTCGTGAGCTGCTCTCCTGTCTGCTGTGTTCTCTGCGATCAAATATTGAACTCTCTACGTCATCAAACTCACTCAACACAACCGTCTTGGGGGTTGCGGATCTGCCACTGACTTGTCTACTACCCGGAGGGGTGTAATCACTAATTGCCTGTTCTTTTTCCGTAGGAACCTGTTCTTTTTCTACAGGTACCTCTTCTTCAACTTTTTCTGCTTCCACTTCTGTTTTTTCTTCAGCTGCAGCTTCAGGTTCCTGTTCCAGCAGCTCGTTTTTCTCGTTACCCTGACCTGAGCTCCCCCTGGGTGTCTCCTCAGCAGAAGTGGTAGGTGACTGTATACTTGCTTCTCTGTCGTCGTAAAGCGTAGGTATGCTACTTATACTCGCGTTTAAACTGCTTGTGTAATGAGTCAGTTCGTCTTCGCTTCTGGTGCCGGCTTGGACTTCCTCTTCATCCTCATTGTCGTCAGTTGAATCATCGTCGTCGTCGTCATCGTCATCGTCGTCGTCATCATCTTCATCATCATCATCGTCATCACTCTCAGATGCTGACGATCGGGCTGAGCCAGCAGTATCGTTGGAATCTACATCCTCTTTAATGCTCTTATTGGCTTTAGCTGGAACGGTCACATCACTGTCACTTTCAAGCGGGCTTGACGAAGATTCATCGGAATCTTCCTCAATTTCACTGCCTTCGTTTTCGAACTCGCCACCGCCTTCACTATCACGTCCATAGCTTTCCTCGTCGTTTTTCTGATCAGCAGGTTCAGTGGCTTTGTCATCGCCCAACAGTTCTTCCTTTTCGTTGAAAATTTGGTCGTTACCGGCTTTTGAACTCGTTTCTGCTTTAGCGGGTGTAGAGTCGTTTGGCGCAAGATTTGCTTCTCTGCGTTTACTCATGTTTTCTGGCACAACACACGTCGTAAGGTCGCTTGGTAACACCACTGCTGGATCAGTTGTTTGTTTCTCATTACCTCTCTGTTCATCGAGTGACGTTTTCAAAGCTTCGTCACTTATAAACTCAATACTTTCCCCGTCGCCCGCGGAACGAAGGCTTTTTGCGCTTTTAGATGTTCTTGTTGTGGAATTTTTCAAAGGAATTCGCTTTGTCGTCGCTTCTCTCTGGTGTTTCTTTAAATTCTCTTTCGTGAGAGGGGCCAGGTGCGCTTGAGTCAGCATCATTCACCCTATGGTTTGCGTTTGAAAGAGAATTATCGCTTTACAAATGATTTTCATCATGTCACACTTCTCCATTACTGGACATCTTTGTCATCTCCACGAAAAACTGTAGGATATGATACCATTAGCTGTATTCACAGTCCTGTCAAGTATGAGAATAGAAAGCGCACATACATTAGAGAGTACAATTCACATTATATTACCAAACAATAAAGCTCTAAATTTGCACCTTACGGAAGGACGCAGATGAAGCAATCGGTTTGAAGTTTTGCAGCAAAGTAATGTCAAATAACCTGAACTAGCGCGCGCTTTACATTAATTATTGTGTCGCTGAAACTCTGCTTACGAAAACAATCTTCTGACAGAATGAAATTTATCTCTAAAGCGCGCGCTTGCAGTGCCACATAACATTTTCACAAACAGACAAGTTGCCACGGTTACTCAAATAACTTTTTTTTCTCCGTCTCTTGTTATTTTACAGGGTAATGTTTTGGTAAATTGAAATGGCTTTCAGAGAGGATGAACGAACTAGCCAGTTACTTTCATTCCAGAGAACTGTTCAATATTTAAAGCGTGGAAAAAAGAACAGATGCCAATGATTTTAGCCTACTTCGATGTTTGGGTTTTGCAATGTTTTGCAGTTAATTTGTTGTGTTAGGGTTAATAATGTTTTTTGTCCTAAAACACACAGTGAATACTAATGGTTCCTGGGAACTGAAAGAAAAGTCGTTGATTAAATGAAATTCCATGTTAGCAAGCTTAGAAAATGAAATGTACATTATTATAAAAAAAAAATGTATATTGTTTTGGTAGTTTATACCCTGAGGTGCTATTTCAATATTATTTTGGTTTGTTTACTCGTGTACTCTTTCTGTTTGTCTTTCTGTCTGTCTTCTGCCTGTTTTTCTATGTGCTCTTTCTGACTTTTTCAGTGCATAATCATCGTATGTGCACACTGCACTCAAAAGTTCTGCTTTACTCAAGTGACTGATTCTGAATTTTTCTAATAATATCATTCGTTGCCCGCTCAATGCTACGAAGTTCACCCAGTTATATTATAATTATTGGATTCAATTTCGTTTTTTCTCGTTAAATTGAAAAAAAGGTAATCAATGAAAGGCGTTCCATTATTGGGATATATTTGAAATGTGTGGAAAACTAATAACATATTAACCTGCAGTGTATAGTGTTGGAACATTTTAACAACATTGATTTCCGTAGAGCTGGCGTTGTTTAATAATATACAGAGTTCCATTGTTTGACTGTATTTTTTATGAACTTTAATTTTAAATGTCAATTAAGTTCCTGCATCCATCTAAATGTTACTTAATTTTCTAACAATTGTTTCCGAAGTATAAACATTTAAATCCTACCGGAAAAAAACTCCTTTTATCATGAAAATAAACAATTTCGGACACCCTCAGAGATCTTGCAATAAAATCAAAATAGGCTAGGTTAACGATGGTGAAAAAGGGATGAAAACTCGCTTTAATTGTGTCCTGAGAGCTCTACCAAGGTGTAAATAGCAGCATATTACCTGAATTTAAGAAAAGAAAAACATGGGATCCAGCAGAATTTTTAATTTCAGTTTTTGAGGATGACCATGATAGACAAATGTCTGTTAAAAAACCGCAATACAATTGATTGCAAAATGGCGAAAAGATCAGAGAAGTCAGACATCAGAGTAAACAATTTCGCTTTCCTCCCGCTAAGCTAGGGTATTTTGAGCGGTGAAGTAGAAAAGAGACGATCCCCTCGGGCAAAATTGTATATTGGTTATGCTGTACTTTCTAAGAATTGCCCGCTGTGTGAACTTAATTTTTAAATACTGTCTTCTTTGAAGCTAAATGTCATAGAAATCAAACAAACTTGTTTCCGTCGGTTTGTTTTACAATAACTAAGTTGCATCAAAACAATTCAATTCGTTGCAAACTTTAGACTTAAGGAAGGGTTTTTCTTTTATCTATTATTGAAGAGAATTCCGTTTGCGTGTTTATTATTCGTCAATGTTCTGACTTTTGGCTCGGAAATACAGTGGAGAAAAAAATTAATCGCAAATTTTTTCCTAATATCAGGCCAAACCAGTGCGCAGCAGGTTTGGCGGGACAGAAAGCATTTCCTCACCCACGGTAAAAGTGAAGTGGCATGTATCTTGTCATCGAAAAAAAATATAGGAAGTTTGTTTTGTTTTTTTTTTCTTTCATTCTGTCTAATTATCGAAACAGCTAGCATTCATAACGTGATATCAACAGCTATAAACAAGGGACGTGCAGAGAGCAGCTCGATCGAAATCCTTGAGATCTGTGAAATAAGTTATGAGAATTAAATTGTCAGGAGATGGTAAAATCCCAAATTATGTTCGACTAGATATCCTGAGCTCTTAATCCCCACAGTAACTTTTCATTCATGACTTATAATATCACCATTAAAAAAGAAGTGAATATATTTCATAATTTAACCCTTCCGACTTATCCAAGATCAATTATTTCGATCTGTTTCGATCCAATACATGCAGAGTAAGTTTAAATAACTGAACCATGTCTGACAGCATTGGCCCGCATCACTTATCCAAACCGCTTCTTATATCAAGTATGTTATGGACTTCATATTCTTTTATTGTAATCTGCCGAATGTATAATACCGCAAAAGCAATCCAGCAAATGATATGGTCTTTGAGAAGGCATATAAAACTGATATACTAGCGTCTAATAGCCGCTATTTGGTGCTTAAAATTGCTTAGTTGTTGCAAGAAAACTTCTTGGACAATTTGGCATCAAATCTTGGCAGTTATAATTCCGTGAATATGTCATCGCGTAATATTCTATACATCTATACCTTTCTTCCAAGCGACTGGCGATGTCCAGTGACCCTTCCAAAATTAAGCTTTCTTTCAATGCTTAGGATTTAAAAACAACCACACTTTCAGGCCAGGCCACTCCGAAACATCCGAAACAATGTTTGGCACACAAAAAATGATTAGATATGAGCTATATTTGTAGCCGTAGTTTAATTATGCATTTGCCGAGTTTCTCTCATGCAGTTTCCACGGTACCCAACAAAAACATTCGACAGCGGAGAAATGTGCAAAGCCTGTTAGCTGTCGCGGATCGCTATTGGTCAACTGGCGCGTGTCAATCAGCTGCCTCAGCACCAATCTCATCGTGTCAAATACGGTTATGTATCGGGTTTCCTTCGACACTTTTTTTTCGAGATGTCTCGCTGTTGTGTAAGCTCAGCTTGGTTTCTCGCAGTTTTCGCCAAACTAAAAGAAAGCAATTCAAAGCATCAGATTCAAGCATCTGAATTGCTATCAATAAACATGGTGTTAAAGATTCTTGGTCTAAACACCGACGTTAATTAGTGCAACGCACGTTCACAAAATAAGTTCAGAAAAACAAACTATCCGCTAGAAAATTCAAAAAATAAGCGAATCAAGTTTGAAAAATGTTCATAAAGTGAACAAATGACTGAACTAAAAGTGAACTAAATGACAAGATTAGCTACGATTCCTCGATGTAAGCTTTGTATTTACTAAAAATTTGAGCACAGAAATGGATAAGATAAATAATTTATACCATAACGCTGACGGAGGTACTTAATTTAGCCTAACGGTGTGAATCTTATTTAGATTCGTAATGAATAAGCCATTGAAAAGAAAAATCATCACTGGTGTAAATCTGGCGAGTGCATTGAATAAAATAAAGAATGTTAACAAACTTTTAAAATATATAAAATATATTTTACATTTTTTTTCTGACTTAGAATTTAATTACATAGTACAAGAGGCTGAAAAAGTCATCTGTGAACTTTACCAAACAATTTCTGTATCAGTTACCAAATCTATACGCTGTCTAACAGACAGGTGATGAAAACAAGAAAATTATCAACCATAGAACTAGCATTGGATGTTAAACCGTGTTAACTGTAGTTTTGAACTCAAGAGACGTGGTGCATGCGAAATATCGATACACTGAGGGGCTATATTCACGAAGTTTTAGGCAAATTCAGCGCTATCTAACTGGTTATAGAGTATAACTGAAATATCACAAAAGTGGATTAAAACTGTAGCAGAACTCATAAGAGACACAAAAGCGAACTGAAAAGGGCATGGATGGGCGAAATTAGAGAAGATTAAAACGGTTGCGTTGGGGGTAAACTTGCAAAATGTCGGCCCAACTTTTTCAACTTTATCCCAATACGTATGAATTAGAGTGTTATCGCACAGAATCGAACTCATTCTCGTTTGAAGGGTGATCGAAATTTGTCCTTTAAAAGCCCTGTTGCTGTGCCTTCCTACTTTATAGCCCCTAATTAACGCAAATAAACAGACTTACCTAAAGTACTGTGACCTGCTCCCTTAAAGATTTAGTGACTTCAATGATTGCCTACGGCCGGCTGACCATCTTTTAAGCACGCCACCGGTTTTCGGCGAAAGTTAATGAATCCAGATGTTTCCATATTTTCCCTTCCAGTTTGAAACTCCGACTGAATGATTCAAAAGGAAAACTTGGAAAATATGGTAGGCTGAAAACAACTTGACTCCCACCTGCTAATAGTACGTCTTTGAAAACGTATAAATATTTTGTTTTAACTGGGCACGACGCTTCTAAAAAGCCAACACTAGTATCTGACTCTCACCGGGTGCTACTGAGCATTGGCCGCCAATTTGTGAACCCATATTGAGGCAATTTATCACTACTTCTAACCGAAAAGGGAGGCATTTTGTTCAATCAATCAATAAATAGCATATATTTATTTATTTATACATGCATGGTGATTAACGTAAAGAGCACCTAAACAGCTGATGTGACCATGATAAAGAAATTAAATGCTGTTTACATCAAGATGATAATTCGAACTAAAAAAAATCCATCTATATTAAAATTAAACTGGAATAAAAATTTACATTAAAAAGAACATGCATTATAAAAGCTAATTTTTTTGTTAATAACGTTATCAGTCAAAGATGAAGTCGTCGCGCTCTGAGGCGAGATTTTTGTTTCAAATGACACAGGCGAGAATCTTTAGAGCTAGCTTGTCTCTAAGCGTTTACCGAGGTAACTATTTTGTGTCAGCCTGTGCTAAACGCTGATTCTCGGTGGCTCTCTCCATCCAGGAGCATAAACGCTTGGGTTCGGTGAACTGTAACAGATGAGTTGGAAAACGGAAAAAAACGCAGATGTTCGCTCTCGAATACAGCGGCATCGGATCCTAATATCTTTTGTCCTTGCAAAATTTAAGTTTATTGGAAATCATTGGCCATAAGGGTGGTTTGTTGATTTAGTTGGTTTGTATGTCTTTCTTTTAACTGTCTTCGTCAGGCTAGAGCTAGTGAGCTCTAAGTTTAGAACTAATGAGCTCGGTTCCCCAACGTATATCGTCGTCGCGAGACCGGAAGCAGTAAGGATAAAAGTGTAGAGGAAAAACCTCGTTTTCGCTTTTGTTATAGATTGAAACTGTTATTCAGCGATTAAATGCCGTTAATAAACCTTACTTTGCAAATACAATGTTTATTTTTTGAAGGTGAAAAATTTGTTTGACTATATCATTACTTAGTCTGTCTACACAGACTTTACATTTTTTTTGTTTTTCCCTGGCCAGCCCCACCCCGTTGCGTTTTAGCGCGTGTATTCCACGCGCCGGTTTCTGATATCATCGCTAAGCTTGCGATCGCGAAGAACTCAAGACAAAATAGTGGGTCTGTGGACAGACTAATCATAATTCATAGCAGGACGACGCCAACCGGAGAAAAAGAAGGGAGTGGTCCAACAGAGATAATCAGATGAATGTATTATGTTTCAACGCCAGCGGAAATTTCGGTCGGAATTCAAATACTCCCCAATTCTATTTTCCTTGGTTAGTCCCACGGGTCTATGGCCGGTTGGTGTGGCATGATAGAAAGCAGCCCTTGTCTCGTCATGTTACAGACGGAAGTAGGTGCGAAACCGACCGACGAGGCTACATGCTCTGTGAGCAAGACTCAAAAAAGTCTGCATACGAGCATGGCCCCTCAGGCCGGCGCTTATCTCCGTTTTCTATAGCATGAAATGACTAGGAATATTTCTACTCCCCCCTGGATGGGATGCTAGTTCATCGCAGGGTTACCCCCAGCATCAAATTTTCCGGTGCCCATTTATACACCCGTGTGGAGAGAGGCACTGTCAGAGTGAAGTGTATTGCCCAAGAACACAATGTTCCCGCGGCCAGGGCTTGAACCCGGACCGCTCGATCCGAAGAAAAGCACACTAACCACAGGACACCACGCCTTCACCTGTGAGCAAGACAAGGTTTACATTTTCGCAGACATTGCCTGATATCGTGAAGATAGTGTATTGTAGGATGACAACCTTCTGCTGTAACTGGGTCTTCATTACTTTCAATACTTCACTCCGTTCATTTTCCAACAAGCCTAGGATAACAGCGACAACCACACACAATAACATCTTATGTTTACCAAAACAATTGTGATAAATTACAGAAAAAAATCCAATATAAATGACATGTTCGAGTGCGTCAACTATTAGCACAAAAAATACTGCTGCACAAAAAGCTGCATTTTAACAATTAACGATCTCAAAAATTCTTAAGACGTTAAGTCCATTTTCGCCAGTCATGCTGAAAGTAAAATACCGATGTCGATATTTTTTTCCAAAACGATGATGCACGTTAATACCCTCCATAAATTGAGTACTGCTTGGAGAACTAATTTACCCATGTGTTTATCTTTCCATAAAACGTTTTCTTAAGAAACTAGAGCTTTGGTGCGCGCGTCTGCCGAGAATGGAGTAACACTAATTTTTCAGTGAAGTTTTAAAAAAGTACAGTAGTTCTACTCGGTCCACCAAACTGTTGAAATGGTACCATCGTAGTATTCCTTCCACGGTTACAAGTTCCCTATGGGTGGGGAGGGGGAGGTGCAACACACAGGGAACAACATAGAACTGCGGTAGACAGAGTACTTAATTTATTAATCAGCAGTATCTAGACTGAATCACTACCAGAAGCGTACGGGCACGTATGATTCGGATAGAAGGGTCACGTGACAGCAGCTGGATAAGTCCTCCACTCCAGGGTAGGGCAGAGGATTGATATCCCCCCGCCCTCCCGACGATAGAACCTGATCTCCTACGGAACTGACACGGTGTCTGTCGGCGGAACTGATAGAGTCAGAGTGCGATGGAAGCTTGCCCTGTTTAACACACCACCGGGAGCCGAACTATTTGACGATGGGGGACGCAGCTCTGTCGGTCGGCCAAACCAAACACTCGCTCGCTCAAGGTCTGGGCAGCACAACATCGGGGAATGTGTTCTCTGCTTCTCTCACTGCATCCTCAGGGAAAAAGGCTGCCACACACAGTTCTAACGCCTTAACCCATCCCTGGTCAGGCATGTTGTTATTCTTCCCTACAGAAGGATGAGAACAATAACACATAAGTGAACGTGATCTTACGAGTTGAAAAAACACTTCTCGACTATCAAAGCTGTCAATGAATTTCTGAGAATCTGCGACGAATTCTGATCCAATGTTAGTTTTGCAGGACCTAACGATAGTATGGGCATATCGTTGAATCATTTTAGCATTACTATAAAAGCGTCCTCTTATGGCAAATGCAAGTAACTTACAAAATACTTCTTTAAGTTCCACTGTGTGTGATGTAGGAGTGTCATCTTCCATCACTTCTGCACTTCCTTGAAGCACTACAAACAGAGTACCGCCTGAAACCAAAGGTAAAATATCGGTAAAGTACTGACCAGAGAAAGGCAATGTCTATAAAATCTTTACTTACGTCAAAGACAGCCAACCTTTTTTGATGAAACGTTGGTATAAAGAGTTAACAACGTAACAAACGAAAATTCTGCTGCAGTTCAGAATGCTCGCAGTTGGACTATGAAAAGCTGAGTAACGTTGCGACTGAGATCAGTTGAAACTGTTTTTGTGTAGTTGACATAGCTTCACTTGTCCCAAAATATTGGATCAACAACTTTGTACCTCTAAACTGGTAACCATTTTCATTGACATGAAGTATAAACCCGTATTTTCTCTATCAGCAATCCTTGTTAAACTGTAGAAGTTTTGTTTAAAAAAATGTGTTTTTCCAATGTTGTTGTTTACAGCGGTCAATGCGCTTAGCTACACCTAGCTAGTTCACAGGCATCCCACTTAAACTGAAAGAAACAAACATATTAACTGGCAAAATAGGCTTAAGAATCCCAACTGGCAAGAGGCAGACCAATTGACTATTTACAAGCAGGACCGAGGAGTTGAACCAGGGTCTACCGAGAATTAACTCCAGCTGTCAAATCCGGTCAGTAATCACTCGGCCACGCTGCCTTTTGTAACATGAAGCAAATATGAACACGTGATCCAAGGTCCACATCATTGCCGTCGTAATTACGCAAAGTCCCTATTTCAAAACAAGTGAACCTCTCAAAGGATACGAAAATACCGACTACAAAAGTGAACTTGCCTTCTTGGTACTGTCTGGTTGATAACAGCTCATTATCAGCTTGTACTTCCTTGATAACCATGGACAAAGCGAGAATGTACAGGAATCCTGGTGGGCAATCTTTGAATTCTTCTGTCTGTAAAGAAAATTGCATTTTGAAAACAAGATTATCACGCCGTATTTCACAAAAAAATTAATATCACACATGATTAACAGTGCTTGTGCTGAAATATGCGAACTCAAGCATCGAGCGGATTTGTCGTTGTGGCCTGACAAGAGAAGAAGAAATCGGTGTACAAAGAGTGAAGGATGAACTATGACAGATAAAGGATGAAGGTCACAGGATGAAGGATGAAGGATGAACCATGACCAAGGAGGTGAAGAATGAAGGATTATTATCATGGTTTAAGGATATGGGATAAAGGATGAAGAATGAAGGGAGCGGTGGAACAAGGAAGATGAAGCATGAAGCATTAAGGATGGGGGACGAAGGGTGAAGAACAAAGGAGGCAAGATGAAGGACGAAACAAAACTATCATTGACCAGAGAGCGAGGTCTTTACGGGAAAATCTTAAACGAGACCTTGCCGTAACAACCGAGCGATTGCGAGGTCAATACTGTAAGGCCAAAGTTTGAGATTTTCCCGTAAAGACCAAACGTTCGAGGTTAATAAGTTGTTATTATATGGCTTTTTGCCTTGGTTGTGCAGGGCCGTAATCGGCCCGAGGGCTTTACGGAAGAATAATGCCCTAGAATAAGCCAATCACTGCGCGCGTTAAATCGTCTGCAACACAAGCCATAAAATTAATATATGATTGTAAGTTTGTGACTGCTTATCATGATTACGATCACCCTTCAAGACACGCTCTCGTTTTAGGGTACTGCAGAACAATATACAAGGATAACATCTCTACCTATTGACTTCAAGTACCCTCTGAGTTCAGTGGACTTTAAACATTAGGCTATAACTGCCCTTGCCGAGCTGGACAAACAGATTTGTTATCTTCTTTGAGTGTACGTATTTGGCGCTATAATTGGCTATAATTTGACGCTATATAAACATTTTTATTATTTTGTTATTAGAGTAGCTTGTGTCAATGACTGATTCAGAACTGTATGCATAGAGTTCTCTTTACATTCCTCGCGTTGTGTTACTCACCTGCTTTAATGTCATCCTCAAAATCTAAAAAGAGAGAGAGAGAGAAAGCAAAGAATATCATGTAAATAAATGCACTTAAAATCCCCATTTCTTGAACCTCCAAGGGAAACGAAAATTAGTTCAAGAAATCAAGCGTCCGAGAAATCGGGAGTAAAATAACAGTGAAGTAAATCCAAGGGAAACAAGCTTTGATTGAGTTTTTAGGAGGTTTGAGACCCCAAGAGTTTGTGTAATAGGGGTTCCATTCCTGTAATCCACGGTACCAACAACCCTGTTGAATAATCAACAGCTACGCCTGGTTTCACCAAGTCAAGTGTATTGAACCATGTGCAAGCACATGAGTCCAGAAAAACACCGAAAAATCAAATGCAAATACAATGATCAAAGATTTTAAGCACCCCGAACCTCAATTAACAGGGGTTTCATTAATGGCCAATTGCACCAGGCAAATTGGCCAGCTGTGAGGATGATTTTGCCTGGCTTGTTTAGCCATCTAGTGGAAAGTTTTTCTTACAAAGAAATTTAGTTCAATAGCTTTGCAAGCCTGTGAAAACCAGCTGCATGCCTGGTGAAAGAGTTAATCAGGAAACCCCTGCCTAAATCATCTGTACTTATGGGGATGTAGATGAAATAAGGATTTTCCTGACAAACATGGTTTTAAATCCTAAGGAAAATGAATGTGAAGTGTTGTGGTGTTCCACAAGATAGAAAGCAAGATCAAACCTCCAGATCCAAGGCTCCTCCATACTTTAAGTAAAGTTCATCAACTCTCTGATTAACCTGCTGTTTCCACTTAACACTTAGCTCGCGGAGTAGAGTGGCCTCAGCTGGGAACTGTAAAATGAAATCATGGTAAGTTGTGTCATGGTTAAAGAGTAGTCACTGGACTTGGTGGGGTGAGATCCGGGGAGTTTATGTTGTGCAAACAATCAGACTAGAAGGACTACACCCTGAATACTAAATGACAGTAGAAAAATTATCTAAGCCAGGAAAGCATTGCAAACAATGATAGAAAGATGTACACACATTACAGGTGGCTTTCAACAAATTCAAACCTGCAGCTTCCTGCAACTAGTCAGGCGTGATATCCACTACACCACTGGGGCAACCACGTTGGATATGTGACAACTTACAGATGTGAGAAGATCGAGTGTGGCCAACCCTAGGGGCATTTTTATTTCAAGAAATCTGTTTCTTTCATGGCTAAATCACTGAATCAGGGTTTACAAAATCTAGCAAATAAGTTGCAAGAGTCAAAATTGTGGTTAGTTGCTACTGTTAACTCTTCCAAAATATTACTAGTTTCCAAACCTGACTGACAGCATCATGGAAGTTTTCCTCTTTAAGCATAATAACCTGGCATGGGCCAACTGCCCTGTGGATTATGAAAGTATATGTAGACTGTGGACTGGAAATGTTTATGTGAGAAGCGAAGCTTTGAGGGCCAATATGCTAGTTTTCAAGACATCAGATTTTCAAGGGGCAACTATCAGACCGATTGTTCCAAGACATAAACACTGTATCATTATTGTTCACCACTAAATTTTCTTCTATGTGCCAGTTCAAAAATCATAAATTATTTTCAACTTTTGTAGATGAAAGGTATGAAAGCCAAAAGTAAAATTTGAAAAAGAAAACAGACAAAAACCCACTAAATGCAGATCAATCGATCTTTAATTTATTTTCCTATGAAGCCACTTGCTTACAGCAAAAATTTTCACAGACATGAACAATCCATCCTCATATTTTCCTCGGATGGGCACTATGGGAAGATAGTGTCTCTCTGCCAAAGTACTGATGAACACTATCGCATAACCTGATGAATTTAATCCAATAAGAATCACACAAAATTTAGTGGTGAACTATAGTGGTTGGTACATGTAGTTGGTGAGCGGTGAGGCCCAGTAGGAAGTTATCAAAGTCAGTATAAACTGGTAATGTGCAATCTATTGTTTTAGCACAACCCAGTGAGTTTTCTAGATCAAACACATGTCATTTATATATAGAATTCTCTTCCATACAATGTAGTTGTCCTACCTAACAGTGGATCTTCTCTCAGTTCCAGCGAAAAAACCTGCCCATCAAAATATATTAATGTTAAAATTGACATAAAAGTACTTAAGACTTATAATAAAAAAAAAAAAAGGACTTGCCCAGTTACATCATAATTTTCACATCTTATTGTCACTGGTACCTTCTTCACCAAATGAGAAACCTCTGCCTCCAGCATCAAATGTAGCAAGCTCCTGATTGCCTGTTGAAAACTTCACCCTGCATACAAGAACAGTTACCGGTAGCTCCAATTAACTTGATCACTGATCAGTTCTAAGTGCTAAAGAACATGGAATGGATTTGCATTTAAACTTCATGGTGCCTCAAATGGAGGTTTCTTTCACTAGGGGCTGTTCATTGAGCCCTGCTAAGGGCATAATGTTGAGGATATACATGTACAGGATTTGAAATACCCAAGTCAAGCAGCTGTAGTTTGAAACTACACATTGTTTAACACTATCTGAGAATGCTATGTTTACCCATAAATGCCTTGGGCAACACGACCCCAGACACCTCAAATTAGTTAAACCAGTACATGGCTACTATTACATATGCAGAGATCTTATAACTTATGTGAAAATTATTATTATAAATATTTAGAGTTAATATTTAATTTTGTATACTTACTGTCCACGAACTAGAACAAACATTTCTTCTCCTTTCCATCCTTCCTTGAAAATTAAGCTGTCAGCAGGATACAGTACAATAATTGCTGCAGCAAAGTAAAGGAAATGGAATTTTTTCTCAGTTAAGTCACTAAATTCCTCCAGTGAAACATAATAAATAGAATATTGTATTCTTAGTTGCAACCTTTCACGCAATGGATTGCAAATTATTTCAAAAATTTTGAGAAAACTATCTTCACTTTTTAAAAATTAACCAACTTTTTCCATCCACTGTCCTGAGAGCACATTAAATTTAAGAAGATGATACATTTAATGTTTTCAGAATTTCAAAATATCTGACCTGGTTTAATAGTGTTGACTACAGAGACCAGAGACTCTTTTCTCCAACCATGTACAACTGGGGACTAAAAATATTACATTATTACTCAATCATAATGGATAATGTCAAACAACAACATGATCCATGTCAGGGGGGGGGAGACTTGACCCATAATTGGGTATAAGGGTTTTGCTAGAGGTTTGACTCTGACTCTGTTTCAGACAAGAGCCGGCCTGTTCAAGACAAATAACTGGGTGTCATTTAAGTATATTTGGCAATCCCAAATAATTTTATTATTTGAAAATTACCCAGTGTTGACTTATGACCTGCTAAATATTGGCAGATATGTCACGGCAACTTGTTTAAACCAAACATTTTAACAAGTGCAACCATGCAACCAAAGCATCCTAAGGACAGGCTCAGACCATTTTATGGACAGACTTACATAACATCATACATGAGTAACACCCTGATCAGTACAATCAACTAACCTTTTGTAAGACATCTATAGCAATCTCCTTTGACAGCTGCTGGTTGTCAAACAACTTACTGGTATCAAGGTATCTCCTAAAATATTTGATATTGAAAAAGATCTTGATTATTGTCATAACATCTGCTGGAGTACAAAACTAATTTATCCCCATCTTTGCCACTGCTGCTAGTTTATACATTACACTAGCAACCATGCATCTACTGTAGAAAGATAATAACTGAGTGATAAAACCAGTTGCAGAAAAAAGAAAATGATCAACCAGGAGGAGAAACTGTCTTAAATTTCAAAGGCTTGCACAGGCATGTCTGAGTATCAATAGAAAATTATATTGTTATGAAAATTATAAAACTTAATTTGAACTTCTGAACACCAACAATCATGTACCACTTAGACAGGGGTAATAATAATATTTATAAAATAATTTTAACAAGAATGAAATTATTAACAAAGCTGTAAATTGCTGCTGAAAAATTTAATAGTATCATAACTGACCTCTGTTGAAACCATTGCAGAAGAGTTATCTCACTGGGAAATGCAAGTAGCTGACGTGCATCAATGGTCTTCAGAAGTAATATCACACACCTGAAATTAAATGTACTTTTCAGTAAGTATGCATGCTGTGATTGGTTGTTAAATGGGCCAATCTCACTATAACTTTGGTTTTGTTGTCAAAATGTCTTGTGATTTATTGCCCATTTTTCTGGATTTTTCAAACAAACATGTAAATTGTTTTGTTTTCTAAAAAACAGTGGTATTAAAACAAGACTATGATTTTGAATTGACCTTAACAGTCATGTGACATACAATGCCGATATAATTATAGAATTTTACTTTCTTCACTTTTTCAAGCTTTTTGTTGCTTTATTTGAGGTTCACAGTGTTTCAGCAAGAAGAAGCGCAACACATGAGTGCACATGTTCATGCTGTTTCCTCATAATTATCATGCTGAAATACCTTGAGCTTTAACCAAGCAACTGTAAACCACCAGGATCATGTGCAGTAAAGGCATCTTCAGTCGAGTGTTGATTGAAACCCTCCATCAACTCTTTATCAACCAAGTATCAATCGAGATGTTGATTGAGTGTCGATCAAGGGTATTGATCAACACTTGACCATGGATGCCTTTAGTACGCATGATCCAACCACCATTACCCATTTACCTTTCCACATGCCCCATACACTTAAACGCTTTTGTGAGAAAACCCTTCTCAAAACAACCATATACCTTAGTTAAGATTGATACCTGTTAGTTGACCACACATCAGCAGTGCAGTTCATGTTAAACAGCACAGAAACCTCTCCAAAGCAATCACCTTCTTGTATTTCCCTCAAGACAAACTTCTGGTTCTCGCTGTAAACAGTTACATTCCCCGACACAAGCACATGAATCCCTAATGGCTCATGGCCTTTACTAAGTAAACGTTCTGGGGCATCCTCTGTCTCTTTCAGCTCTACACGACGTATGACTTCATCACGAACTCTTCTGTCCAGGGTGATAGGTAGCGTGTTTAAACATTCCGTGAGCTTGACAACAGCTTCTGGTGGAAGCACGGGATTTATAGATGATGCTAACTGTGGACGTACTATCTGACTTTCTCTTCTTCTAGCACTTTGTTTGTTACCCATATCCAATCAAATTCATGAGTGTTTTTAATCCTGTTGCAAATAGGAATTTACCAACAAAATAACTGAAATCAAAACTGAATAAGAACTTTTAAAAGCTTTTTAACAAGATGTTTTTCTTTTTCAAAACAGTAATGATAAGACCATGCAAGTTGCTCTCCGCACTAAGACTACTAACAAGTCCACGTCTGCAAAGAAATTACGTTAATGACCCGTCTGCGTTTAAATACATGTGCAGGCAAACAGATGGATTAAAAGCTAACCTTAGCAGTCTTCGTGAGCCTAACCCGCGGCTGATCAGCCATGTTGATTTTCTTTGCTTGCGAAGCATTCTGGTTGATCGTACCCAGTTGTCGCGCAGCGATTATTTTCCCGCTCTTTTCCACGAAAATCACTCAGAAGTTTAGCAGCTAGCAGCTGTCGTAAGCTGCTATTGTTTTATTATGGCTGGTTTGCAGTGTCACGCCATCAAAAATAAAAATCGTAACCATTCAATAAATTAAGTCAAGAAGCCGAGATATGAAAGATGATTGATATATAAATAACCTCGCCAAGTTTTAAGTCTCTACGGTTTTCCATCCGCGCGTTATTCGGAAAAGTGTTTCACTCAAATTTATAGAGCTTTGTGGGCGAGCTTTGTATGGTGTCGCCATGTTTGTGCCCCTCGGAGGGACACAAACTTGATGGCGGCCGTAAAGTAACAGAAACATCTGTCATTGAGTTTTGCCCCTGAAACGAAACGTTATTACTCTAGAGCTCCGATACATTGAAATTAATACTTTTTCTAGAGCAAGAAGTGTTTAGTTAGTAAAAACTTGAGCAATAACTCATCTTTTGACCTACTCGACAGCCTTATCGAGCCGCCATTTTAATGTCACGCAACGCAGAAACTTGGAAATTCCGACTGCTCCATTACATAATGAGGAACCCTGTCGGGCTTAAACGTTACAAAACGTCAAGTTATTAGAGGGTGTTACATCTGATGAAACTAAAACTTCACAAGGATTGGTAATTTCTTATTTTGGAAATTGATGACGTCACATGAAAACCGGCAATTGTAACGTACAGCTGTTATTTTTTTAAGGCCTGGAGATTGTTTCTGTTGTTTGTTCTGTTGTTTCCTTGAAGGGTCTATCAAGCCATTCATGTGAGACCTTACGAGAGCTGCCACATGACCCAAATCACTTGCTGCGAGTGAATTCCAGATAGGCACAAGGAACGATGCTGTTAGTGAACCATATGACTTTTGAGGAGTCTGGGTAATTTGGTATAGGCATAAACGTTTTTTGTTTTTTTTTAACCTCTCATGCATTAGGATTTTTTTTCCTTGGGACGCGTCAGTATGCAATGGGTCTGCAATCAGATGATATGTCAGTTAGAGTTTTTCTCCGTGTAACATGCTTTTTTAGGCTCTCCAACCTAGGAGGACGTGCATTATTTTTTTTTCTCTGTTGATACAAGTATTCCTGCAGAATTTTTGTTTCAAAAGTGAAATGGTCCATGGCTTAGGGTGAATTTCTCCGGGCTCTGACCCTTCACTCCGTCACCTCACCACCTTTATATTCTGGCATACAAATGACGCTACTTTTTAGTGCGCAAAACAGTAAAACAGTACGCAGATGTTATCTGCATCACGCAGCAATCTCAGTTACCACAGTCTCTGGTCCTTTTGGTTAGCAAGACCCCTGGGAGAAATCAGAAGGTAAGCCAGTTCTCGAGTCCACCCAACATTCGAAAAGTAAACACAAGAGACCCTCCTCCCCCTCNCCCCCCCCCCTAATTATGGAGAACCATAAATACATAAATTGAACAAAATTGTAAAAATTATGGCAGAAAAAAAGGCAAACACTCTGGACAGTTACCTCATTAGCTTTAATTACAAGCATTTTTTCCTAGCTAAAATAGTGATAAAAATACGTCATTCTCTAACCCTAACAGCAGCCACCAAGCTCGCTCCCCTCCCCCTCGCCGCACCTACCGCACCCCCCTTCTTAAGCTGAGTATTAATTGTAACCAAACAACCTTGTAGGATTAACCGAACAAATAATATTTAAAACTTGAGTAGATAACTAGTTTAAAATCCAAAGTAACCAGTACTTTCCACGGACGATACAATATTTGTCAACATTATTTAAGGGGGTCTATTTCACACAATTTAGGCAATTTTAGCGCTTCCTAACTGGTCATTATCACAATATATAACATCGTAAAACTGTAAATGAACTCAAAAGAAACATAGACCAAGCCCTTGAGACGCTCCCAAGGTTTGCCCGTCTGATTTTTCCTGCGATAAATCCTGTGCACTAATGGCAATCATGTCACGCAATGCAAACGCGTCCATCGACTTGAGAGAACTACAAAATAGCGCCAGCAAACCCACTTGTACTGCGGAGATGAACGAAGTAATAAAATTCAGCAATTCTTATCAGATATAGTCTAGAGAAAGGATTAAATGTTCTTGCATTCAGCGCTAATGCTATCAAAACGACCATACGTTTCAGGACTACTGTCCCTAAATCCGAAAACCTAAGCGCGGAATTAATGTTACCTAATTTTTATTTTTCCCTTGCATTTGAATTAACGCTACATTTGAATTCTTCTGGACTTTTCAANCTGTCGCTTGACCAGAAAAACTGAGCGCGAAAGCTAGCTGTCGAGGTTGACTAATTTTCCCGCCACACTTGACTTCTTTGGACGTACACGCTTCAGTGTTGCCACTTTTGGATAAAATTACGCGGTGGACTTTTCAACAGTACAAGAGCTGAAATAACAGTCAATTTTGAACTGATCAATTCATTTCAGGAACACTAAACATTTTCTAACACCATTGTGATCTCATAGCAATTAGTCTTAGTTCGACATTTGCATTTAATCATCTTCGTATGTAACTTTCACTCCACCAGGAAGGTTACTTGAATCCAGCCATTCTCAGCCGAAGTATTTTGATGGAGGCAGCTTCTCGTGAGTGGTTGGAAAGTAGGCATTTTTGTAATGCTCGCCTTTATTCTGCCATTGGAGCCAAATCTTGTCCAGGAAAGTATGATGAAAGACCATTTCCGGGGCATTTGACGCTGTGAACGGATTAGACATCGTTCCACCGATCCAGTTGTGCAGCAGACTATGATAACCATCGCGAACGATTTCTTCAAAGTCGAAAAATCTTTCCAAGGGCAGCGCTAAAGTCCTCTTTAGATCTTCCGTATCTCCATCGAGTTTAACGAGGTGAAAATTCCTCCTCAGACATCCACCTCCTGTTTGTTTCACCAGACGCCATTTCTCCTTGCTAAACGGCCCGTCCTCAACACAGTCATCATCTGATGGGTTTCCATTGCCGCCTAACCCGTGGTCGCCAGAGCTCCAAATCGCGTTGCTATCAGATGCATTCCACCAGTAGTGAGCAACTCGGCTCCAGTCCCAATAAGGCAAAGTCACACGACAGTCGATTCTGCGNAATAAAGAAAATTCACGGTGTAGAAACCTAGAAACACAGTCTAGAAGTCAGGTAGGTTAAAAAAACAAGCCAAGCATTTCTATCAGTAGTTGCCATAGCAACAACATCTAGGTTCTGAAAGTGTCTTCCATACGTAGTCTAAGGCTGTAGGTTTTCTATTATTGACCTTCTACCGAGTGCTATGTTGTAAACATTTGCCGAGGGAGAAATTACTTATGCATATGTAATATCCAAAGCTTTGTGAAATACTATATAGAGCCACCTTAAAATTACAATTTCACATTTCTATAGAAGTTTGAATTCAGAAACATCCGTTAGTACGATGTAAGCCTTCCATTTGATTATTTTAATCACCAA